AGTAATGAGGGATTGCATGCGCAGTTGATTGCGGCGAAACTGAGTTTGCCCATGCCGGATGTGGCCAGGGCTGGGGATGAGTTGCTCACTGCGGGTGTGATCTTTTCGACGGTGGATGAGCAGACGTGGGCGATTTTGGAGTTTTAAGTTAATGGGTTTCTTTCTTGTGTGGGTGGGTGAAAATGATTTGATGTGATTATGGTATTTATTATATTGCACGAAATGAGGATTGTTAGTACTTACGTAGGGTTATTATTATGGCATCATCTTGTACATTCAACTCCACTACTTCATATCATAATACATCACATCATCATCACATACTGGTATATATCAAGTCATCGCATTCCGCCGCAGCGCGTCCTCCACCGAGCGATGCCAATTCGTCTGCGTCAAGAAGAACGCCTCAATGATCGAGACCAACAACAAGGCTAACGCAACACCAGACCACAATCCAAACAAACCCCAATTCAATCCGAACGTCGTGCCGAAACTAATCGGCATGGCAATGGCGTAGTAGCAGAACAGCTGCACGTAGCCGCCGATTTCCTGGCGACCGATACCGCGCAGGATACCATTGCAGTTGGCAGCCAATGCATCGAACAACTGGAACGCGGCACACAGAGGCAGGACCTGGGCGACGAGCTCAATTACCTCCTCGTCCGAGGTAAATAGGTAGGGGATGTAGTAACGTAGGGTAGAGAGGAGGAGCATGTTCAGCAGGCCGACGATGACGGCGCCGACCATGGATACCTTGGCGGATAGCTTGGCGGCATCGACGAGCGTCGCGCCGATGAGGTTGGCGACGCGTGTGCTACCGGAGATAGAGACAGGGAAGGGAATCTGGAAGGTAATGCTGGAGATGGTGGACAGGATGGATTGGGCGGCCAATGGGGTGGTACCGAGATACGATGACGCCAGGGTCAGGACTTCGAAGGCAAGACACTCGGCTTCGACCATGAGAAGCCCGGGAAGGGCGAGCTTGATCATGGGCCCCCAATTGCGTAGGGCGCGGGTGGTGACGCCGTTCCAGCATTCGGAGCCGTCGATGAAGTACACGTACAGGAAGAGGAAGAGAGGCATCAGGTTGTCTGTGATGGCTACGGCGATGGGAGCTCCGATGAAGCCCCAGCCGAACTGCCACACGAATACGTAGTTCATCACTGCATTCAATGGGGCACAGATGAGAAGCACATAGAGCGATGCAGAAAAGAGTCCCTGCGCCTGCACGAACCGCTTGCCACTCTCGAAGCAAGCGTACCCCGGGGCACCCAACGCAACCACCTTCAGGTACAAGCCGGCCAGCATGGCGACCTCCTTTTCCGGCACGATCCGGATGAGAATCCGGTCGGCGAAGAACCACAGCACGATAATAGGGATGGAGATGGCCCAGAGGAAGAAGACCATCTTTTGCATCTGCAGACCTACCAGCTTCTTCCTGCCGGAGCCATACGCCTGCGCACACAGGGTATCCAAACTCGTCGCCAGACCTTGATAAACTGCACATAGTCAATCAGTATCAAAACAAAGACACGCCCAGGGAATTGAACGTACCAGCATAACCCGTAATACTCGCACTCATACTCGCCAAACTAACAGCCCCAAGCTCCTTCTTTCCCAAATGCCCGAGCGTAAAAATACTCGCGACAGTCAACGAATACTGCAACAGGAAGGTAACCACCAAGGGCGCCGCATTCTTCCCAATGACCTGAGCTTCCCGTTTCCACGTCGTTTGAATTAGCCCAGCAGTAACCGCCTCCTCCCACTTCCGGTCAATCTCTTCCTGATCTTCCACCGTCTCATAGTTCGATCCGCGACGCTGCCCACCCAACAACGCAGCCGTCTCCGTCGCTTCCACAGGCTCACCCCGTCTCATGCGCCCACCCTTCTGCACACCCGGCTCAATGCAACGATTATCAGTGAGCAGATTCCGCTCATCCTCAATTGCCCGTTCCCGTTCCCGCCGCGTCAACCCCTCGCTATCCGGCCGATGCGGCACAACCGTCGCATGCGAGACAGTCGTGAAGAACCCGGGCCGCTGGTACGACCCAGCTAGCGAATGGGGATTTGTGCCGGGCTGGCTGTTAATGGCGCGGATGGTGGAGGTCTCGGAGGCTTCGTCGTCAGTGGTGAGCATGGACCCTTCGTCGTCGGCGTAGTCTTCAATGTCGCGGGCAATGGCGGTGCGAGCAAGCGGCGAGCTGGATCTATACCGGCTGTGAAACTGCTCGTCAGTGATCCCGCGTATGCTGTTCCGGCGGGCCATGGTGCGGAAATGGGTTCCACGGGGGAAGGAAGGTTGGTTGGTCTGCTGCTGGTGTGTATCACTGCAGTTGCAGGCATCCGTGCAATTGCACGGGAAGGACAGGGGGCGTGTATGTTGTGTAAGAGAGGAATTGGATCCGGCAGGAATGGGAAACAGCAGGAATTAATAGCAGGATTTAGTTAGACATCAGGGAGAGAGGTTTTGTATGGGAGATGCGCAGGGATCCGGTAATCGCATTACGCAAGTAAGAAAAGCGCAGATTTTGCCGCTCAGGCCATGATGATCCACTCACTGTCTGGAGTTTCTACCAATTGAGTGAGTGAGTCATGGGTTGGTGTACTATTTCTCCAAGTTTTAACCCGATTGGGACTGCGCTAGTAGGGATGTTAGCGACACAAAATACGAAGTATAAGTTAGTAGTATAACTATGTCTATACACACCACTGAGATGATAATATCCTGGTAGAAGAATAGAAGTAAAGTACTAGGAAAGAACAAGAATGCAGTGATAGACCCCGCAAATGAACGGGACCCCACGGTGGATGAAAGATGCCAGGAATGCAGTACGTACCAGTACTAGTTACATACGGCGGTAAAGATAGCCCCTCGACCAATGATAAGACGCTATAACAATCCCAAACGAGCTGGTCCAGCCGAGACTTGTATCGCAGTGGATCATTAACCAGACAAGCTGTGATGATCCATATCCACACAAGCTGTCTTATGGCAGATAGCAGATTGGCAATGATATAGATCGTATACTATAACTGATTGATAATGGTCTCCCTACGCCGTATAATCCCATTAGCAAATGTATAGAAAAGATCACGGGATCAACTAAAATGACATCATGTGGACACCGCATCACGTGTCTCCACATAGACCCTGTGCTCGTGCTTTATGTAGGCGCATTCATATAAGACATACACCGATATAGCATAGTTACTTATAGCTACTACTCCTACTAGGCTACTTCTAGCTAATTTTATCCCATAAAACTCATTGTAGCTTTTTCACATACTGAGCACCACACACACACACACACACAACTTTATCATTATACAACAACAAGAAGAAGAACAACAACAACAACAACCATGTCGACCACAACCCAACACCAAGAACCCCAAGAATCCCAAGAACAAGAAAACACCCACAGCCTCCCCAAACCCCCCTACAACCCAATAATAAACCCCTCCAACACGCGCCCAATCCTTGCAGACGAGTGAGTCCACACCCTCTTCCCCACCCCATACCTCCAAAACTAAATCATTCTCTCCCAGACAAATCTCCCTGAAATCACACATTTTCCTGACCCGCCCCTACATCTCCACATTACTCTTCGAAAACACTACTTCCGATGCGCGCGACCACTGCGCCAACGAGCGGACCTTTCTCTCCTGGCTGCGTCTCTCAATGTACCTAGCCATCGTGGCCATCGCCATCATAATCAGTTTCCATTTCCAGACGCCGCCGACGGGGCTGGAGCGGCGGATGGCGTTACCGTTGGGGATTGTCTTCTGGGTGTTGAGTATTGCGTGTCTGGTGAATGGGTTTGCGAATTATGTGCGCACGGTGAAGAAGTATAGTCGGAAGGCGGCGCTCGTGCAGAGTGGGTGGAAGACGCAGGTGACGTTCACGGTGGTCGGGACGGTGATTTTGGGGAGTTGTGTGTTGTTTTTGGCTACGGATGCTAGTACGAAATGATTTGATTGAATATGTTTTTTTTTTTTTTTTTTTTTTTTTTTTTTTTTTTTTTTTGAAGTTGGTTTTGGGGGAAAAGTGGTAGTGGGATATGATTATAAACAAAGCTAAATGGACACTACACTCGATAGTATCTATGGAATAGGGCCATCAAACGCTGCAGGGAATCATGTCAGGGGATATATGTATGGTGACCGTGTACAGGCTGCAGATGCAAAAAGATCACAACTTTATCGTCATCGTCTTCGCCTCCTTTACATCCGCCGGATCTGCTGCTCGTTCTTGTATCCCTCTAGCGACGCTGAGCCCAGGTGGCTCCACCATTCGAACAGCATCGAGTTGCAGATCAGCTTGAACCACGGCGTGAACTTCAGTCCTGGTTGCTCGAACATCTGCTTCAGCTCGTCCGCCGACACATACCGCGTGTCGCGCACTTCGTTGGGGTTCACGTTCAAGTCGACGTCGGCCTGGATGAAAAGAATGTAGTCAACTGGGTATGGTCAGCCACCTGTCCAAAAGCGCATCACTGGTATCGACATACTCTCGTGCTCTCCCCACTTGCCATCACTGGGCGCCTTGTAGTGGATGCGGGTGAAGAACTCGAACTTGTCCAGCGGCACCTGCTCCGGCTTGATACCCAGCTCGTGTTCCAGCTTGCGTTGCGCCGCGCGCTTCACACCCAGCACGGCCGCATCGAGCTGCGAGCCCGTCTCTCCGGGGATGCCCAGGGGGTGGGAGCAGCAGGTGTTCGTCCACATGTCGGGGAAGGTGATCTTCTCGGTCGCACGTTGCTGAAGCAGTAGACGCTTGTTCGAGTCGAAGAGGAAAACGGAGAAGGCACGGTGGAGGAGGCCGCGATCAATGTTGGTCATCAAGTGGCCTGTGGAGTGGCGCCATCAGCATGGACTTTCTTTCAATGCTGGGTGATGATGGATAAACTTACAGGCCTTCTTGCTGGCGCTGCCAATCGGCTTGTCATCGTCATCCAGCACAATACACACCTCTTCCATCAGGCGGACCTGTTCCTCATCGTAACCGGCAAGCTCGTCGCCCGGGGCGGAGGCATTGCTTGTCGCAGTGGGGAGCACCTCCCGCGCAAGAGAAGTGTCAACCTCGGGGAAGAGAGTCGCGACGTTCTCAGCCGTGATTCTCGGCGGCTCGGTGACGGTAGTGGTGGTACTCATCCTGATGATTTGGCTGGAAGATGGAAGAAATCGACTAGGCCTCCGCTGCTGTACAGAATGGGGCGAAAAGAGTGAAATCTTGGGGAGGGAGAACGACCCCCTCGACGTGGGGAGAACAGAGCGGGCGCCAGGGCGGTGGCAGAAAACCCATCGAGCGGCGCGGTTCATCATTTCCTTCTTGCAATTGGGTCATTCGCGGCCCTATTGCTTATATTGTTCTTGTGCAGTCTACGGACAAACTGTTCTGGCTGGCGGCATAATCGCTTCGGTAAACAGGATACTCCGGCACTCCCTCATTGGTATGTTGGAGCAGAATGCCAATCATGCGCTCAATGTCAGCTGAATACCCTGCCGTGGCATCTCCCTTTCCCTGGCCAGGTCTGCAAGCAGCTGGATTGAACGTCCGTCAGTACAGAGCCTAGAATAGCAACCGCCCGCTGGCTGTTCGCATCAATCCAAAGCAGATCGAGGTGGACAGACAATGCCTGTCCATGCCTGTCCATCCTGTCAAGACTCAACTTGATGGGGCTGGCTGAGCTTCCGCGCTGTATGCCTGCCAACTTCTACCAACAACTTTCCGTTGAGGCGCATTGCAGGCATGTTCTTCAGTCCGGCAGTTTCAGGCGCCTGCAGAGTCGGCATAGCATAGCCTCTTGCCCACGCATATAGCTGCAGAACTTGGTGGGACATGGCCAGCCGCTCAACAGTGTCTACCAACCCGGTTAGACATTTTACTGACTCGGCCCCAATTGATCGGGGTGTCTCATTCCGTCGGGTCCTAGTTTCCCTGCTCATTGCTGGAGCCTGACACAACCTACCACTGGGGTCGAAAGCCGCGCAACAAGCACACTCGTAGTGCTAGACCATACCAACAGTGCAAACGGACTGTCTAGTGTCTTGGTATCCAGATGGAAGTTGTCCGACAAGATAGCTCTTGTCGCTTAATCTTCATTGCTCTCTTCGGATCCGTCGGACGCGGACGTCCGAATAGTAGGTCGTAAACACTTTCGTCGCTAAACAACCAGCAAGGGCCAATAAGCGTCCAATGCACAAGGCGTCAGGATTGGTCCAGGCGTTGATCCCATCGTAGCCCCCATTCGTAGTAATTGACTAGGCCGTGATTAATATGAGGATGGCTCGTTAGTGTATTGCCCCTTGATTTAGCAGCTTCATTGGACCTGCTCCCGTGTCGGAGTTTGGAACGAAGCTATTCAGTACTGGGCGGAGTTAATTTCCACTCGCGCGCTTAGTTTCTGGTATCGAGAAAAATGGCGCCATTCATGATTCCCCGCCTTCAGCGACGGTCACTCCGACCACTAACTCAACCATTCTATGGCTGCAATGCCGGAAAAATGGGCGCGTCAACCCAGATTATCAGGGAGAACTCGTCACACGTCACACAAAGAACGTCTGAACTTCTCTCAAAGCAGCAAAAGTCGCAAGTTATAAATCAACAGCGCAGTCGATCAAAAATTCGAAGGGTCAAAGTATCCGTGCCGTGCGCTTGGCAGGATCAGTCCGTGTCGCGCTTGTTTGAACCTAAACCAGCTCGTTAGGGGTCTGGATTTCTTCCATCCGATAAATCGAACCATAGCCGGTCGCAGAACTATCCGATGGGTGATGATATACGGAGTCCTGGCTCCACTCGACTTAGAGTTGGAGCCACTGTGCGCAGATAAAAGTCACTCACGCCGCGGGGATCACCGCGAAAGAGGAAGGACTCTCAGAGCATGTTCCAACTTCCGTGCCTTCAGTTAGTCCCGATGGGTCCGCTAGGAAGCCTTCCGACTTCCCCATAGTCCTCCAACCCAGAACGGTAATGGTTATCTCGATGGCGCACGACGATAGGTAGGCCTTGCTGACAACTCCCGCGGACGTATGGAGCATTCCTATGATCGTGTGTCTCTGGTCTTTCTTTGTGCTCAAGGGACCCGTTCCTCGCGCCGCTCCTTCATCGTTAAGTGGCCCGTCAACCCACTTATCCTGCCCCCCATGTCCGATTCCGTTCCGTGTGGACTGGATTTTCGGCGTGTATTAAGTTTGTTAGGGCAATTAACGCAGCACTTGGCTCGTTCTTGGTGTGTCTAGCTGGTATAAGCTTCCGCGCTGCACCTTGTTAACGAGTCGTGCAAGACCGGAACATGTCCATGCTCCTCCGCTTCGTACTTTTTCCCCGACTAATGCCTGGCACGGCGATAATATTCGTCGATAATGACGCGCCATTGGGTGGTCCTTCATAGATAGTGAGATGGCATAGGATTGCATGAATCAATAATGGAACAGCCGGCCTAGTAGCGCCTCTTCCGGGGCCCATGTCTTCCGACAATAGTCTTGTACCAGGTTCGGACCAAGAGGAATCGGGAAGTCCTCCCGATGGTTTTGAAAGTGAGGCTTTATTCTGCAGGAGCAAGCAATGTGAATCATCTGCAACGCTCTTTCGTGAGCTCACTCTGGCCATGCGGCCTAAAGTCTTGCTGCTGTTGGGTGGACCTAAACAAACGGTCCACTTCATGGCCCACAAAAGTAAGTTGTAAACAACTTGCAAGAATAATCAGAATGGCCCAAGAGACGGAAGAGGCACTTGCGAAGTTTGTTAAACGAAAGGCATGGACCTGCCATGCGCTGCTTGATTTCTATAAGCCGCCTTTGGGTGACGACGGATCTCTAGCGATATTCCAAAAATATGCAAAACAAAAAGTCGACAAGGCCTCCCTGATGAGAAAACAATCAAAACAAAAGCAAACTGCCTCCCTGCGCTTATACAAAGCAAACACAAAAAAAATACATGGGTAGTCATGCTTTCAAGTATACAGTGGGTCCTCTCCAAAAGTATGCAGCCGTATCGTTCATGGCCAGCTGCGATCAACGCAGGCATGGTCTAGAACAGGCAAATAAACCGTCAAATAGCTGCTTAGTGTGCATAGTAGTCATGAGTGGGGTATGGCGCGTCTGTGTCGTTTCGGGAGGCTCGTGTCTTCCGGATTCTTCCATCGCAGCCGTCGGACTGATGTCTGTAGCAGAGTGAGTTCGTTGTTTCACATTGGTGTTGAATCAAGATGCGGTACCTTGACAATGTGTCCTGTCGACTGTAGCGCCGACCACACTTCTCGCAGCCAAATTTGCGTATTCCCCGATGGATCTGCGCATCCTATTAGTAGTGAACTTAGCTCTATCCGATGTGACTTACGCTATCTACGTGTCTCTTCAGGTCAGTCCTCCGCCTAAATTCCCGCCCGCAAGTCTCGCACGGATGTGGCCTTACGTAGCTAGGGTCGTGGCTTTTCATATGCTCTTTACAGTTAGAGCGTCGTGTGAAGCGGACACCACACGTAGGACACTCTAAGCCGCTCGCCGACGGTATCCTCGACTGTTCTCCCTTGGGCGATTCGCTTACATTCTCGATCCACTTTGAAATTGCCTCATCAGGGACCAAATCCGGCGCAACACTTTTGTTCGAATCCATCTCAGTTAGGGTGTTATCCGGGCGTTGAGGATGCAGATATGCGGTGTTAATCTGAAGTCGAGGGATCTCTGGCATCCTAGAGACCATCGTATTGGATGATTCGTCCAGGAAAGACGATTCCCAGACGTCCTCTATCGGGTCTTGAACGTTGGACCAGCCTTCTGACGCTGCCATGGTTTCGGAGGTAGGAGTGTTAGGCCAGAAGCGAGGTATTTCATCATGCATCGCGCCGAAATCAATGACCGGGCTGTAACTGGGTGATACTGAGATGTCTGCATGGCTACCGAATGCTTCGTAATGAGTCCTAGGCGGAAACTGACCGGCGTCTGGAGGGGTTTCGAGGATATTCGGGGAATGCGTCATTGGATCGGACCAGTTGCTCGTTGAAAGTGCATATTGCTCTGGACACGGGTAGAGTCTGATCTGGCTTGAAGGGGATCCTGTTCCACAATTGGAGATTCCTAACCCGGACAACGACTGAAAATCGTATCTATCGAGGGGAATAGCCGTTGGGGATGGGTAGGCCGGAGAAGCTTTGAGTAACCTTTGGTCATCCCGCGCCGAGTGAGCCAAGGGAGAGGATGGGAACGAGGTAGGTGTACAATCCATGACGAAATTAAGATTTAATCATAAACAGAACAGAATTGGGGAAAGATGAAGAAAATTTTTCGGGGACAGCTGCAACCAGGAGAAGGGTGATTGGTAACGGTTTCTGGGTCGAAGGATCGCTTTTATGTTCACAGAACTCCCGCGACGTCCTGTGGCTGAAATTGGGGAAGGGCTGGTGAGAAGGCAACAATATTGGTGACTAGTAGATGCTATTCAAACGAGAGTGAGGAAGTCCTTTGTAGTGTATATAAGTAGAAAAAGACTCAACAGCGACGCTGCTAGAAGATGAGAGTAAGTGGCGAACCATGAACAGCAGCTGAAAAAAATATCTCTGGGGATGCCATATGATGATTGGAGTACAGCAACCGCTGCATGGGGCACAGGTAGAGAGAAGAAGAAGAAGAAGAAGAAGAAGAAGAGATGAGCAACAGGTTTGACGCCTCATCAGGCAAGGCAGAATTGACGGGACGTTGTTGCATGGATGGGGAAGAATTCAGAGCGAACCTAGCTGGAACAACCCGGTCCAAGTGGACTGCAGCCTGAGTCTGCAACATTATTCAGATAGGCGCGTCAATTAGATGCCATGCGCAAGAATTTAGCGCCGGAAGGGTGTGATCAGGCCAAGGTGTCAGTCGGCGCTGTACCCTGTCGCGAGGAGAGTGAGGGAGAGGGAGGGGGGTGTGGGTGTGGATGGTGCATGGTTTGATTCACACCGGACGACGCCGTCATTTGTCGCCTAGCGGACATGACCGGGACCCAGCAGATCCATCAGCCAGGAAATCATGACTTCTGAATGGTACGAACGTAGAGAGAAAGGTAGGGAACCAGATAGTAGTGGTAATTGTAAATGTGTAGGTGGGGGGGTGTGGTAGGAGACCCCGTTAGGTTAGGGGATGCAGTGCCTCTTGGGACAACAAGCATGGCGCTGGGGAACAGACGGGCAACAATAGCGGCTGAATTATTGGCAGCATGGACGGGGGGAATGCCTGGCTTCCTGATCAGCAACAGTCGGCTGGAGCAGCGCGCTTTTTTTTCCTTCTCTCCTGTTCTCCTGCTCTTAATGAAAGGGGAATAGTAGGACCCGACAGTTTGGTACCTAGCTTGGCGAAGCAGCATTGCAGTGCGTGTCGCCAAAGCAGGCCGGTTGGCAACACTGCCTCATTATCGGCGAAGTAGTATGCATAAGCCAAAAATAATACCCAGTCAGGTACTGCGGTACATCAGAGCCTCAATGAAGGGTAACTGAAGTGTGGACGTGAGAAGAATGGATGTTGTAAAAAGTGGTGGTTGATATGGTTGCTGCGCGGGACGGAGTATACTAGTAGGATTAACAGTTAGCGAGGAGAGGAGGAGGAAGAAAAGAGGAGTAGGAGGTTCGGTGGTTGAGGGAACGGCGGACTGGCAGACCAGTGACAGCCAGGCTGTGGACGGAAGGGAGAGTGACCACCACTACTACTACTCTGTACCTACTACCACTTACTACCAACTAACTAATTGGGCAGGGCAGAAGAGGGGCTCCCGCCTCTAATCCTGGTCTTTACCAAAGAGTAGTATTGTACTAGACACACTCTCTGGCTTTCCCACGACCATGGCAGTGGCCCAGTTTCCCTGTTACTACTTACCTGCCGCTCACTCATGGTATCATTCGGTACCCCCCTAAAATTACTATTTTTCATTTCACCTACTTATTTTTCCCTTCTTTTATTTCTTTTTCTTGCTCTCTGCTCCTCGGTTCCTGATTGTTTAGTCTACTGCCTTCCTTAGTTGTTCTTTTCCCTGTCTCGAACAAATTCCCTGAGAGACCCATTTGTAGAACTAGTAGTAACATCATCTAAAACCCATCTCGGAGTCTATTCTATTTCTTACGGTAACGAGAGAGAACCAAAACAAAAAAAAAAAGTAAATGAGAGAAAAATAGATCGCTCAAGAAATACAACAGAATGACAAATAATAACAAACGACAATCGCCCAGTGCACTCCGTACAAAGAAGTTGTTCGTCGCTGGCGGGTCTCCAACTACTCCGTCCCTCCGACCTACGAAATGGTCACTGGCCGGTGCTCACGCTAATGCTTTAGGCTCTGGCACCGGCCTGACGCCAGGTGCGTGTGTATACCATCCTTCCGCTGTGGTCCCCTCCCCTCTTTCCATTCCTTCTGCCCTGCACCGTAATATACCACTTTCTGACACCTCTCCCGACTTTCTGTAATTGCCCTCATTGGCTTCGCTGGTGAAAGGCCATCCGAGCAGCCACTCGATCCACTTGTGTGCGCAACCGTTCCACCTCGTCGATCATATCCGCGGTGTCACCACGTCCAGCCTGGCCCGAACTTGGTCCGCGCGTTTCGGGATGCTGGCCCGGGTTAGACCGTTCCTTAGGCCGGCTGGATGCCCACGAACGCCCTTCCAGTGCGGAGGCATGGAGCGGGGCATGGTGCGTGGAGAAAGGGAACCCCATCTGGATGGAGGATGTTGGTCGACTGCTTGCGGTGGTCGTGGCAGTTGGTGGAAATTGGCTATTTCCCCGAGAGACGTAGCGGCGGCTAGATTCATAGGCCCAGATCAGTGCGACAAACGGCAGGTGGGTGGCCCGGAGCAGAACGATGCGCACCCGGCGGATGTGCTCTGCAGGTAAGAAGAGCCTCAT